CTTCGTCTAAGGAGGCTATCTGCCTTGGATTTGGAGCTACTGTGTTCCTTGATTAAAACCAATACGTACAAATCAACTTGCTATCTAGTCCTTACACTTGACTGGTCCCAAAGCACAAATGAGAGAGGGCCTCGCTCCCTTAGAAAAGTTCTGAAGTTCGGTCAAAATTTTTCTCATGAGTTGACCAGTACTCCAAGGGGAGCACATGTGGGTACTGTCTACAACTTTTCTCCCGCTTCCGCTGTACGGGCTGGTTGAACAGCACTGTAACTGGATATGGAGTGGGTGCCTCTAGGTGAATCACTCCCGGGAGCGCCAGCGGCTAGATCCCCAGAAAGGGCAGAACCGATCGCGCAATCCTATCAATCCAGTAGGGCGGTGAGACTGTGTATGTGGTGGGGTTTCTTTCTCCCTTCCCATAACGGAATTTCTTCTTCTCAGCGCTGTGGTAACCTACGAACCCTATTGTAATCAACTGCAAGGGGGGTTGAAAATCGCTAACATTTGGTCCCAAAACCGAGCAATGTTTGCCTACTCCACCACAGCTCAGGGTCACACATTTGGAAAACGACACTGCTCGAGATCCCGAAGCTTAGCTGGGGAATTCCACCACAGTCTTCGTGTAGCCCTGACTTAGCTCTTTCCGATCGCCATCTAAACTAATCCCACAGCGGCCATCTTCTGGGTAAAAAATACGATTTTTGATAGTACCTCAAAAATGACCCAGCTGCCTTTCTGGGCACAGAACCAAGAGGCTTCTGGAAGCAGGGCAACCACACATTGCGTAGTGATTGGCAACAAGTTGCCAATGAAGGTGACATATATATAGTTGATCAAAATTGCTTCCCACTGGAATAAACTTAACTCGAAAAAATGTTCGAAAAATCCACGAACTTTTGGGACAATCTAATATATAGAAAGGCTCGTAACGGGTAAATCAACAGCGAGAGAAAAAATTTCCTAGGTGGACCAAATGCAGTAGCCCCGTTGGATATCCGTTAATATCGCGCTAAGGAAACCTCAAATTACTCACCTCAGCATCGTCAAGATATTGTTGTGGATTTGAGTTATTTCCTATGTCTCTATCGATTTCAACGACAACATGCTGTACTGCATCATTAAGTCGTGAAGGCATACTGGCTTGTCGGCCAGTGGAACTAAAACAACTTGTAAATCATGAAATTGTTCTGTAACTTGAACGTCGGCAAGTCTTCAATGCCCGCACAAGTACATAAAAACGACGAATGAAAGCGGTTTGCTGCCAAGTGGCTCATCAACAAGACTTCCAAAAGCTCGGTACTGGTAGCCTAAACGGACGACCAAGACCTTTGAGAATTTCAACACCTCAGGCCGTATAATCATGTTTCGAGGGCCTCACCAAGGCCTGAATGAAAGTCCGTGAAAGAAGTTCGTTGCTTACCATATTTTAACCTTTACGCCGCTAGTTGGTAATCATGCTCATGGAGAACAGTGATTAGAACTGTAGCCAAGTGGGCCTGAGACGTTATTTCTATGAAGTGTTAGGGCACGGGAGCAGACAGAGTATTCCTTAGCCAGCCGAATGGACATACCGCAGCACTTCCTCGTTGAGTGAGTTATGCCTTGGTGCAAGTGCCTTGAAGGTAACACCACTTGTGGTGCTTCTTTTCCTTGTTCGTCCCTTCGGTAGGTATGACGTCTGATTTCGCTTTCAAAAGTTGTTACCACATGAAAACCATTTCAAGCAGGGCTTAAACAGGGAGCGAATAGCACACAGCGTGGCCTGTGCTTATACTAGGGGCTGAATGCAGCGGCGGCTCAATCCTTGCTGTCCTACTCAAAAGATCCAGCTGCTTTAAAGCTTGAGTTGGATAGTCAGAAAGAAATATGGGCGGAAATCACATGCCTTGATCCTGCCTTTCCATGGTTATAGTAGGAAGGTACAGCAGGGACGTGTGACATGATCATCAAGAGGTGGAAACTCTTCTGAAGGGTCTCTGCCGTACCTGCCTTGCGCGGCCATGGCAGGACAGGACCAAGGGCGAGCAAGAGTGGGACATGGGATAAGATCTACGCCCTTTTTCACCACAGCTCGGTGGTTAAAGTGCTAGAATGTTGAGTATGTGACAACAAGGCTTAGCTGCTCCCATTCCAAAGTTTTCCTCATAAAGCCTCATACGAGAAGAGATTCCCTCATAAACCTACCTGAATAAAGTCTCTGTTGCGACATATCCAGTCTCCTCCGTGAGCTCACGAAGGCCCGCGTTTACTGAGCTTTCTCCTGCCTCTTGAATGCCTTAATCAACAAATATAAAATTATATCACAGTAGTTCAGGCGGGAAAATGCAGTGTTTGTTTTTGGAGCAGATCAATCTACGAGATAAGCATATTTTTAATTGTATGTCCGCTCAAATGTGAATTACTCAAAGGCAGTTGGCACACTAATTTGTTACTCAGCCTAAAATATTAGTAGGGCGCTATCTAGTGGAAAAATGGTGAAAGATCGAAGCGAAACTGTCGAAAACCTGCAAAGAAAGGCCACTTGGAAAGCTATTCCGGACGAGTTTCCCGTAGGCCTATTGCAAATAACCGCTACAGTAGGTACGGCTGCATGCATGTACTCATATTAGGTTGTCCGGAAAGTTCTCAGCGTTTTGGGTGTTTCACTTTAAACGATCGTAACTTTTTTTAATACTCATCGGATTTAATCGAAATAGGCACCATTCGAATCAGCACACTTTTGCCAATGTGACAGCAGTCGAGAAATCCCATCAAAGAAAAAACTGGGTGGTCGAGAATCCACGAAATCTACGAAGGTCTTTTTTGCCTGGTCCTAATTGATGAAGTATTTTTCAGCAAGGAAGTTCTGAAAATGTTTGAAAAGGTGATAGTCGGTTGGTGAAAGGTCTGGAGAATATGGCGGGTGAGGTAGAACTTCAACCCCCAATTCGTTCAATTTATGGATAGTGATTTGTGAAACGTGTGGGCGGGCGTTGTCATGCAAAAGAATCGGACCCTTTCTTTTTAAGTGTTGGCTGCATCTGACAAAATTTTCGGTACAATTCGTCGATTTCTTCACAGTAGGGTTCTGCTGTGATGGTTTGGTAAAAAGTTATAGTGGATCACACCAGCCGATGACCACCAAGCCGTGACCAGAATCTTTTTTTCGTGAGGGTTCGGCTTTGAAAATTACCTCGGTGGTTCGTCGAAATCCAACCACTGTCCGGAACGTCTCCTGTTATCATACATGACCCATTTTTCATCACAGGTGACAATTCGGTCAAAAACAGGTCGTTTCTGCTGCGCAAAAGCAATGCAGAAGGAACCTCGAGACGTGCCGATTCCTGCCGGTCACTCCGATTGTGGGGCACCCAATTGTCGAGTTTTTTCACCTTCCCAATGCGTTCCAGACCATCTGCAACAGTGGATTTGCCAAGGCCTAGCTCTTCTGCTATCTCTCGAACTGTTTGGGATGGGTCAGCCTCCAAAATCCCCCTAAAATCCTCGTCAGATATTGCTTTAGGTCGACCGCTATGAGGTTCATTCAAGGCTGAAATCTCCAGAACGAAATTTGTTGAGCCATTGCCGCACAGTGCTTTCTCTAGCACTATTGGGCCCCCACACCTGGTTAATTTGTTGAGCTGTTTCGATTGCGGATTGCCCCAATTTATAGTCGAAGAAAAAAATCGTCCGAAGTGCTCTTTTCACATGCTTGAAAAAATCTTGAAAAAAGGGGGTTTATCAAGCAATGGTGAAACGGCAATTATACCATCAGATAGCGCAAGAAATTCTCTACAGGATGTGCTACTGAGAAGCAAGGCAGAATGAGTTTTTAATCAGCAGTGAATGTACAAAAAATAGGTGCACAAAACGCTGAGAACTTTCCGGACAACCTAATATATCCATTCAGCACTGCAGCCGCTTCATACCAATCCCTTCGCTTCATAATTTTCTTCACAAATGAAGCAATACGAGCATCAGGTACGGTCGTCCATTTGTGGGCGGGCGGGCGTGGTGGGCGTTCGGGTCGGTATGTTGCAGCTTGATAGGGCCCTTATAAGGGTACCTTCTCGAGAAAAACCGCTATGCAGCGCCTGCTCAGGGTCGCGGAATTCCGCCCTGCCAGGCGTATCAATCCTACTCGTCTTTGAGGATTTATCGTGCCAACTGCCTGGTTGGAGCGGGCGCTTATTGCCAACGTCAATGATGGGAGAGCTGAGTGGGTATGACCAAACGCCTTCTCGCAATCCTCCACCAACCAGACTAGCAACAACCGTCCGCTCCCAGAATCATACCTACTGCCTTCGCACATATCCTCGAAGGATGCTAATTATTCTTATGAAAGTAGAAAAACGAAAACAAATTCAACATGATAGTGATCTAAAGAGTAATACAACCAATTACAAGAGCGTAAAACATCTCACCTCCAGGAAATTCGAGTGTCCAGCTTTTGGAAGGTATCCTGTACTGTTTGATGAACACGAAGTAGTAGCGATCTCGATCCCTCAGTCGGGCTATTACATGAACTCCGTTGATGCTTTCAGAATTTTTTGGCGTGATCGGTTCCAGGAATTCCCACCTCTATAGATCATTATAGTTCAATCACGCATTTTTTCCGAGATAATTTTAATAGTAACGTAAAGTAATGTAGTAAAGTAAGTGCATCGAATAAAGTAATGTTCTATCCATACGACTGTACAAGAAATCCCTTACAATAGCAGTGACCTTGGTATTGGAGAATAATTTCTTGCGTGGACATAACATGGATATAGTGTGTAAATATAATACTAAATATATTGGGGGGAAAAGGTGTAAAGGAGTTCATCGGGGAATCCAATGAACCCCTTCACTCGACGCCTCTACAAACAACCCGTTAGTTGATCCAAATCTAGACTGCATTCGTTCTGCAGCACATCCATGACCAACGATTTTGATTTCGTGCTGGATATGCTGCTCAGAAGTAGCACCAGTATCCAAGTTATTTCGATTCAGTCCTTATTTAACCACGCTTTATGGAACAATTCTGAGGGAAGAATAGTGGATGGTAAAGAAAGCGGTTGCTCATAAGCGATTGACCTTTCTGGTCTTCCGCCATGGGGAAGGCACAACGGTCTACGGACAACTTTAACCTGATCCCTTTAAACACATTGACGACCGCGTGATACGCATTGAATGCACGCTTTGTAGGCCACGTGGGACCGCGTGCATTGAATACGAATCACGATCAACAAATCCATATCTTTCACTAGTGCATGATTTTTTTTGTTTAGTTTCTCCTATTCATTCTATAGTTCAGTCCTTAGTATACTCGTACAACGCGTAGTCCATGGAATAATTCAGTACACACTAGTTTAGCAAAGACTTCTTGGGGAAAGAACACCATTTGCTTGGACTGGTTTGCTCCTCAACTCTGATTGGTTTGCTCTCCAACACTTTACTAACAAATGCAGATAAATACAAAATTGATAATGTTAAAAAATTATAAGGTGAAGGATTCTGAGTTCTGTAGAAGGCACGACTTGTGTTTTTTATGAAAACATTGGTTACAGACAAATTTCTGGCACCTAGTGCAACGAGAGTTGGCCAGCCTAGTTTTTTCCATAGTGAATGATTGACTCACTTCATAATTGCTCTCTAAACCAGGTTTTCCGATCCAATCTCCAAAAAAAGCGCCTCGTGGGACCGCGTGAATTGTATGCGTACCGCGCTTGTGGCGTTCGAGAAAGCGCGCGTGTCCCACGAGGCCGAAAAAGTAAAAACCGCGCTGTCGTCAACGTGTTAAACGCGTCGTTTATGTAGCAGGGATTGCGCAACGTCTGCACTTTCGCAACTTTCTATGGAAACACTTTGAATGTGTTTCCAGTTTAATAGGCGCTTTATAAACTTCGAAGACATCAACTCGGAATTAAGGTAGCTTCAAGCTCTATAGTCTCCGACAAAAGATGAAAAGACATAGGTATATTTCATGCTGTCGGAAAGGAATATCAAAACTTACACCAAGTGCTCCAGACCGTGTCTGAAAATGAACAACCGTCAAATTCGAGAATTTCCCGTGATATGCCGTTTCTTCACGTACTGTAGTGATCGGAGGCTGATTCCCATGAACCTTGAATAGATTGAATTTAGCAACTAGTTTATAATATATCTAGAGATGGCTACGACTGCCAAGTTGCATGCTGCAAGCTCTATGTGCCTTGAAACTAGGGGTGTGTAGCGGAAGTGGCAGCCTGGGGATCGCATGCAGACCGTCGGTAGGAGGGAGGAGGTCGTATATGCAGGTGTTAATAACGAACAGAGAGTGGTGGTAACATTAGGGAACAATGTTCTCGCTTTTGTGCCTCGTCGTGGAGCGCGATGCCTTCGTCGAAATTCATGACAAAAATTGTATATTTATAAAACTGCAAAGCCACAAATTACCTGTCTAAATACGGCAGCAACCCATCAGCTGGTCACCTGACCTGAAAATTTTTTTCGACCTCATCAGGATTATAATCCATAAACCCATATTCCCAGAGATGTCACTAGGTTTCAGAATGGACGACGAGGGCGTGGCTCAGGTTTCTCATAGAGGAGTGAATCACCTATGCCTTGATTTCCTATTCATAGCAAGTATAAGAGGTGTGCCGAAAGGTTCCTGGAAGGAAACGAGGGCTGTTCAATTAGGGCACCCTCCTAATTCTCTGTTTGCCGACGGGAAGGGGGGAGGGCGTTTTGCACTTTAACGACTTCCCATCGACGTGTCGACCCATCTAGACAGCCTCTTCTCGAGTTGACAGGTTTTACCATGATGGCTTGACGAGCTTGCTCCAGCTTCACAAGAGTTCACAGGTTTCACCAGAGTGAGACTTGTAAACCAGAACTAGTGAAGCAACGAAAGTGCAAAATGCCCTCCCCCGTCGGCAACTGCGCCCCCTCTTACTGCAGCAGAAGCAAGCTTTCGGAGCGAGACCCACGGCAGGCCCAATTGTAGCCTTCATTAAAACTGTTGCATGTTTTGGGAATGGAAAATCTTCGAGGTTTCGTCTTGATAGTGGTTTCACTATATTTCGTGTCGATCCTTTCCAGAAGCCTGCAAAGCCTGCTCACCAGGAAAGGTCATCAGGTCAGCCCGACCATTTCCAACAAGCTGCGCATCGCTGTACGCGCCTTGGGACGGTGAACTCAGAGCGCAACGGGTAGGGAGCGGGTTTCTTAGGCGAAACGTCGTAGGATCGGTTCCGGAGCAAGCCCTTTTTTGCATTTGTCCAAGAACATGGCCGGAAGCTTCCACCATCTCTGCTCGTCCCCCTGCCCTGTAAGGGAACCTGAGACCAGTTTTTTTCGCAAGTGTAGACAAATTGTGGCCTGAAAGTGCTTCTGCTTGTACCCCTCGTAACACGTGTCACAAGGGTTTTTGCAATGAAATACCATCATATTCATGTTCAGCGGGTTAAATTACCCCTGGGGACAAGTTTCTAGCCGAATCTGATTTTTCGACCTCACTTGGAAAATGTGGGCTATTCCATGGGTAATTAGCAGCAGATTGGAGCTCACCTACCATCGATGACTGGTCTCGGAATGGGATTTCCGATAGTCAAGAAAATGATGCAGACGGCACAAATAAGTAAGCCAGGTACTGTTGTTTACAAAAAGACATGACTGAAGAGTTATTTCAGTTCGAAGACCCAGTCATCACCAGTATGCTAGTCATAGTATCGCTGTTAGCTATCAGTCAGCCATGACTATCCATACCCATTTTTTCGAAGTTGAGTCAGAAGCTCAGATTTTGCTAAGGTGAGAGTCAGAAGCTCAGATTTTGCTAAGGTGACGTCTCTAGGGGTTATTTGACCCCCTGAACACGAATATGATACCTGTTTTGCGCGAAGAGCGCTGTGAGTCGCGCTACATGTGCCAACGCTTCGGCGCCAGCGCGCCGTAAGAAGAAAAACAGTAAAGAAAAACCTCCATAACTCCGCTCAGAGAATCGTTCTGCAAATTTTGAAGACAGTTCTGAGTTCAGCGTGTCAAGATGAGTACAGTGATGTGCATCATTGCGAATGGTCCAGGCTGACCTGTTGACCTTTCCTGGTTAGCAAAAGATCGTCTGCTGATGATGTGGTTTTTTCTGAGCCAAGAAGACCCTAATTTCGGTGGTAGTCTCGTGGGTAGTGAAGCGCTTCATATGCACAACACGCGCCACAAAAGTTGGGCAGATACCATACTCCATAGTCGGCTTCTATTAATCTCGGTCTTATAAACATTTTAGTATGACTTTGCTGGCCTCCCCGATTTACTGAGCCAGCCGATACGGCGCGAATTGCCTTCTTCATTACAGGGTCAAAGCATCTCATCCAAGTAACTCGCCAATAACCATTTCAATTTACGCTGGGAAAACAGAGCGTGGGAGATCGTAGAACGAGATTGTAGAGCCACCGAGCTTTTTACGAACATAAACTCTGCCTGTAGGCTTATAGGCTGTAATTCATATGTGTAAAATTTCATCAAAACTTCGAGGCTTCGCATCAGAGGGCTCGATGAGACTGACTGTCAACAAACCATGCTCTGGGATTCCTGGGCAGTGAAGGGCGGGGGGGGGGGGGGGGGGGTGGTTGTACGGACATCTTTTTCCTGAAGGGGTTCTCATCCACGGAAAGATTTCTCGCTGAGCTTTACTCTGCCACTTGACATACCGCAAATAAGATAAAAATAATAAAAAATCTGATAAAGTAGTAGAAAGTAAATGTCAATAGAAATAAGCGAAAGCGCAAAGCGTCGGTCAGTTCTAACAAATGAATTTGAAATCAAGGGACAGCAGAAAAATACAGCTCTTATGTGCTCTGATTAAAGTCATTACGCCAAGCACGTTTTAATTCCTACGGCTGAGGAAAACACGAAAGGTAACATTAATATAACAAAGTAATAACAACAAGCCTAAGTAGCAAGTGGCATCAGGAGTGATATCATAGCGAAAAGCAATATCAAAGTCATACTTACACCATTCAATGAATACTATGTACTTACATGTGTTGACAAAGATAGTAGGATACTGAGAGCGACTGCGGTCCTGGGAGCTGCCATGTCTACAATGGTTTAACAAGGTTTCACGTTCGAAAGGAATATACGAGATAGAAACGGGTTTCTGAAGGGCATCAAGACTGCTACGTCTTGAGTTGTTTTACATACGAGAAATTTGGAGGTCATAATGTCACTCAACACCTCGTCGAAGAGCGCTCAAGTTTCAAAAAATGGAAGAAGTCGGGACCACGAAAATTTTCTGGGAACAAGGACCTCTTAGAAGACTGTTGAAAGCAGCGATGTCCTAGGATACTTACAAGTAGGCTAGAGCTGAGCCCTAATACAGCATTGTTGAAGAAACAAGTTCCTACCGACCGCTGTGATTATTTTGTAAATGAACAAACAACAACACATCGATACCTTTTCACGAGCGCCCACTCCATAATATTATTTTTCATGACTGTCCCAAACAGTAGACGTTTCAAAACAAAGATAACAAAAAATACAAGAAATCTCTCGTTGGTCTATGAAGAAAGCAGTATGGCAATGATAACTGGTTTGTTATCGATGCTTACATAGGTGAGAGGGCGCGATCAGCTGCTAAACCGGTACATTCGAGCATGTGTTTCAACCCGTACAACAACTAAACCCCGCCCTTGATGGAAGGAAGAGAGAGTGAATGCTTTATGAAAACGATTCATATGTTTTCAATATTTATTGGAAAATAAAAATTTACAAAAATGCTACTGCAATTGTTATCTTGGCAGCGAATATTTTACCACGATTACAAACCCGAAATATCACTGGAGAATCGGATGGGAGTACAAGAATCTCTTCCTCAGCTAATTTTGGAGTCATCATTCTAAATCGTGGAGTCAGGTCGACGTCATCTGAAAAAGATTTTTGAGATTCAGTTGAGCCGAAAGGTCTCAATATTCCGTGAAACGGGGCAATCTGGTTCGAACAGCCTCTGAAACTCCTCGGTGGATGGAACGCATAAAATCTCCTATCCCTTTTATTACTTTATTACTTACTTTACTATCTTCCATTAATCCTACTTTACTACCCATTTTTATTAGGCCGCTTTTGTGTTTTCTCACCTCTCTTAGGCAGCGTTTCAGACTTCGCGATGGTAGCGCCTTGGTCGCGCGTTCGGCGACCGCGTTCGGCGAACAATTTTTCAGTTCCACACTGTGCTACAGACACAGTGTACCTAACTGGCTTGGGAGAAATGGTAGTGTCAGGGATCCCCAGAAAGCTCTCCGGTACCACTCTCTTCTTCTTTTCCAAAAAATTGAAGTTTCACGGGGGGAGGGGGGGGCACACACCCATCAAAACTCCGACTATCGATGACAACAGTTATACGGATCTTGACGGGCAGAGGTAGGGGGTATGCATGACATGCATGAAATAGGAAAAACCACAAGAAGCCGAAAGCTGAAGAAATTCCTTTCCCGGTTCAGAAAGGTTCTATCAAGACCAGATATGCCCCTCTTCCCCTTCTGGCGCGATTCATGTGCACAAGGTACAGCATCGTTGTGTGAAACACAGAGAGGGGGGGGGGTCGCAGTTTTCAGCTGGGGAAGGGGGGGTCGTATTTGGTCGTTGGGAGGGTTGTCGTACCAAGACCCTCGCTTAGGGGGGGGAGTCGTACTGACACCCTCTCTCGGAGGGGGGTCGTATACACGACCATTTCACACATCACGATGCCGTACCCTACCTGTGCATCACGCGACCACAAGGAGACGAATCGTTTCGATCACTTTTTTATCCTTATAGCCCAAAGTTAAGAAAATACGTTTTTTTTTTGGAAAAAGAAGCATACATTTATCAATTAATAAGGATCGAAACGATTGAGAATTGTTGAACATTGCTACTTTTGCTTGAAAATAGAAGTTGAAAAGATAAGAAGATACACGTATAGCGCTGGTCAACAATGGCCTGACCGCGCCAGTTTTCCGCAGTTTTCTACGTCCCTCCTGCCTACGAGGCGCTTTATGAACACTACGGCCCTAGATTCCCCAACTTCCCAGACATGAGTGGCTCACCTACCCTGGAGCCACCTCATCTTGGGGAAAGTCCAGCTCTGACTAGTAGCATGACCTTTTGATTCTGTTTAGATATGTAGCTCGCAAGACTGCATGGCTAAGCATAGCATAGCTGCGGCATGCCTTACAGGATGCTATACTGAACGGCGCGCTGGTTGACATCCCGTTTGGGTGAGCGCGTAGGACAGCATCTGAGGCTGGGCAGCCGGCATTGAGTCAATCATTCCTTCCCTCTCAAGTACTTCAAGCATCCATGAGAAAAATGCTCTCGACCGGCAGTTCTATTAGATCCAATATAAATCTTTTGCAGGTATGCATACCCTACAATTTACATAGAAGCGTATCGAAACTCGCCTTGTTGGAACCATATCTGTACTTCGGCATTACTTGTAAAACTGTAGATCATTCTTCGGCTCTTCTCAGGCAAGAATTCCATTGATAGCTCGTCCCCGGCTTTTACTGATCGTGACTCTGGCGCTAGTTCGATTCCATTAGCTTTCCAAAGCGACCCGTCTTCCTATAAATTGAAATTTATCAGGAATTCGGATTGGAAAGAACACAGCAGACACAGCAGTGATACAAGCAGATTTTAATCGAAAAATCCCTGAACAAAAACAATTCTTCTCCCGGCATTTTTTCTTTCTTCGCTTGATAAATTAATGAAAATACTTTCAAAATTATGTACGATAACCTGCAAGGTGAATCCATTTCATGTGCAAGATAGGGAGATCCGCAGGATCTCCCTATCTTGTAGGGAGATCCTGCGGATCCCGCTACATATCTCAGGGGTTGCTCTTTTGTCACTCGGATGGGAGGAAGATAATTGCTAAATGGTGATAGGTTCCGTTGGTGACGGCGAAAAATTATGGAGAGACCCCTTACATAGTGTGCAGTGGATTACATATATTTTTTTAGTGCTGTACATATTAAAGCCTAGCTCCCCAAGGATTACGGGTAACGCCACTGGTGGGGAGGGAAAACGTGATGTACAGTCCTCATCATTGCGGACCGGTGGGGCGTGGCAGTGCGGCTGCGTTTGGTGCGGTTTGGCAAAGTCGTTCTGCACCAGTTTTTGAAGCGGGCAAGTGCATTACTGTATTATATCCTTCGTATTACTCGTTTTCTACCACTTTTTGTCGCATACGCGTTGCAACAAAAAGGCTGAGAACGGCTTCAACAGTGTGCGCACTCCTTCTGGCTGACACGCCCCACCGGTCCGCAATGATGAGGACTGTATGGGCTCCCACTATTGATGCTGACGGAGCCAACACTCGTGTATTAAATGGGCTGCTCCCCCAAGGAGTGCGAGGTAAGGAACTATAGAATATCTTTCTTGTTATTTTTTTCACTAAAAATGGCTCATGACCAACCACGAAATCGTCCTCGGTGATCTTTGCCGATTTGAAGCAGCCGTTATCTAGCTCACTTCGAGTCTTATAGGTTCCGCAGAAGGCCGGCGGAATTGCTTCCATACTGAAGTAATGTACTGTAATTTAACAATTTGTATGTCACAATTCTTTGAATGAATTACCTGAGGTAATTTGTCATTTGGTCTGGATATCGGCTGGCAAAATGAAATCGATCATGGACCTTGGCGGGAAGTAGAAATGAGATCACCTGTAAATTTGGATTTTTGTTGAAGAGTTGAAATAATGCGAAGTGCTAAAACGAGATCTCCGAGTGTGTTGGCTTGAGGGAGCAATCTCGATACCTTCCATGCAAGAGCAAGGAATGTTGGTGGATTCACAATAACAACATGCTTCAGTAGTTCTGCATAATAATCCAGCCATACATTGACACGAGCCTAAATACCTAGGCTTTGATAAATTCGAAAAAAATATTAAGAAAATGAAATGCTATCTTGTGCCCTACCTGCATTAAGCAGTTGATTGCGCTTGTCGGTGACATGTACGGTGTGATAGCAATACCTTTCATGTCAAAAATACATAATTCCTGAAACAATGGAAGTTCTACTTTGTCTTCAAATTGAAGTCCCTCAAGTGTCTTATATCACTCTGTTCTCACTGCTTGTTCCAAGAACAGTCTCCCCACTTGCATCCTGCAGCGATTCACAGAGTCGTAATTATGGGCATGATTCTGCGTTCACTTTTTGCTGCAGCGTCCACCGGCATCTGCCAACGTCCACCAGCGTCCGGCAGCGCCAGAGACTAGGAAAGCACAGGTATCGATCTAGCTTCTGCCAGCGTCTGCCAACGTCTCCATCATCCACCGCGTTCACCAGCGACCGGGAGTAGAGAGTATGGGGAAGTAGGAGGGTAGCAAACAGCTGGATTAGGCGTCGTGAAATTGCGGCGTGTGCAACCGCACCGCACAACTGCTAAAGCACAGAATTATGCAATTTAATGTACGGTGTAGTGTAGTTGTACGGTGCGGTTGCACACGCCGCAATTTCACGACGCCAGCTGTTTGCTACCCTCCTACTTCCCATACTCTTTACTTCCGGTCGCTGGTGGGCGCTGGAAGACACTGGCACACGGTGGATCAACACCTGCACTTCCCTCGGTCGAGACGCTAGTGGACGTTGGTGGGCGCTCGTGGACGCTGTCGCAGAGTATGAACGCAGCCTAACGACGCTGTGGATCATTTGCGGAATTATTGAGGTTGCACCTCCAGGAATCGCAAAAAACCAGACTTGTTGGAGTGTGAGAGAAAGACGATAAAACACATCAGGAATAACAAAGGAAGTTCCAGGCTGGTTAGAGCGCGGGTAGTGAGAAGATTTTTTAGAACAGGAACATACGTTAATATCGAGCGAGCAATTTGTCTTAAGGAAAGGGAAAGGAAATTGATGGCAATTGCCTTGGATCTTCTCTACCTCTTGCGTTTTTACTTTATGGCAGACCTATCTTAACTTAGCTAGCTCTTTTGGAACCGGTCCTCCTACATTTAAGTAACTGAGTAACACACTCGAAATCCACGAGATGTGGTGGGCGTGGCTGCGTGCCTCAACGAATCGTGGCGGTAGCTGTCCTTATGGAGATATATTGAAAGTTTGATCCGATTGTGATCGTTTCTCTGTCTCTATGAACAAGATAACAGGTATCTTAAACTGATATATCTCACGAGTACTTCATTCTATGCCACGTTCAAGTGTCACGCCTACTCGGTCTCAGGGATGAGGAGTGTACATAGAAGTATGGGTGTAAATTCCTTGACCAGCACGAATTCATAGACTCTCATCATTCAAAGCTCTACCCTCTACAATTTCGCACTTATTACCATAAAAATATGTGACTACGTAATATTCACAGTCATGGTACTATGCACCATCTTTTTTCTCAAAGCAAAAAAAATCGAAATTAACAAACGTGTAGGCTCCCGTAAGCTTTTCCCGCTCCAGTACCAGATTTTGGAAATATTCACAATATCCAAAGAAAGACCGGAGATATTCGCCGACTCGAACAACTTTCATAAACTGAAAACAGCGCTTAGTAGATCTTTTCTAGAACTTCTCACGAAAAACTTATCTGTTGTTGGTCTGGGCAAACCAAAGGTTCTCAGAAATCGTAAGCTATTAGCGCGACCAAAAGACACATCTCTTGATTAAAGTCACAAGGAAAAGAAGTTTGAGTACGAAACTGCAAGAGTTTAGTGACATTGGGTGGAAAAAATTTGGATAGCACGGTCAAAAAGGCGAAATAAAACGCCTCAGAATGAAATATCGATAGCCGGGGTACATTTTATAGGGAAGAGATCTCATTTATAGGGGAAGAGAAGTCAGCTACTAATTAGTCGTGGAATGTGTCTTCAAAACACTCAGGATTTCGACAGCTCAGTGGTGTTGTCTATTTTCAAATATTCCGATACATAATGTCCGTTATCATTCCAGTTCCCATTCCTGTGCTGCCGATCCTCACCGAATATGACCCGATTCCCTGCCCTTAGTCACATTCGTACTCATGGCTTTGATTTGCTACAGCTACCGATAAACCTGCGCAATCCGGGCAATTCGGCGGCTGAGGTGGGGGCTTTGCACCTACGCTGCTTCCCATTGCTGGTTGACCTACCAAGCAGAGATTTGTGAAATCTCAAAGTCTCGAGTCATAGAGGGGTACCAGCCAAAGTTTGTAGAAACTACTTGTCGGGTCTTGTACAGAATACCTGTCAACCTTTGTAAAGCAATATACATGACAGCGGAAAGCAGTGAAAGTGAAAACTGCCCCATCGTCGCCGATCTACGTCAATGAGTTTTCAAATGCTTTGTTGCAAACCTTTTTAGGATCTTCAATGCTCATCTCGACGAAGACGATACCATTGTCCTTCTCGTTGAACCATTCAGAGGATAACCTTGACTGACGTACATATCGGGCACAATTCGTCTGTAAATCAAGATTTCCGGTAGAACATGTTCTGTGTAATGATCAAATGACCTTTTGCCCCGTCAAAAAGTGGGAACAGAAGTTTACAGGAACGTGTTTGGAGACAAAGCGGTCAATCGGTCACAGATTTTTTTCATGGAAGATGATAAATGAGAATCGGTCAAATTTTTCCAAGGAATACGATTGATGATCGAGGATGGAATGCCTGGCTCTGACTTTTCCTTCATAAAATCCGTTCTACAATCACTTTGCTTGTCACTTCCAATCATCTCGTGAAAAATCTCCAGTGCCTTTGAAAATGGGTAAGGACCATGAGTACAAGAAGAGTAATAGCGGTTGAATGGTGGGCTTGATCCTTTACAAAAGGCCGATGCTTACTTGTCAGGGCCAAGAAGCTCTGCTGTCCGTTGTAAGGTCAGAGAACGGTACCGAGCTCTACTTGCTACAGCTTTTTCTGTTACTTGGGCGCTCCACGCCCTGAGGGTTGCCCAACGAGAGGGTGACGGGGTTCGTATTTTGGTTGCGAGCAATGGCGGGTCATGCCGGGTCCAGTTGTCACGGCTCAAGCTTTGGTCGCTCCACGTGAATTGCATGATCCTGTTTTTCAGAGTCTACACCTTTCACCATGTAATGTTGCAGTGGAATCCCCCTCCCTTTTAGTGCATTTAGGGAAAACATGTTTCCTCATCCACCGACCGACAAACGTTCCCATGAACCCATGGATAGAAAACGTTATTTTCAAAACAACCCAAGGTGAGGCTTCAGAGTTGAAAGAGTCAGTCGTCGGATGACGCCTCGAGCAGCAAAAGCCATCGATAAGAAATTTCCCACAAGGAGAAATGCGTCTCCCTAATCCAGCAACCAAGTACTACTCCTTTTGCCGGGAATTTCTAGCGTACGATGGGCCATGATTAGAAGGCCGCTATCCTACAGACTTGTTCCAGTAGTGGCCGGGCTTCTCTTCAGCTTTTGTGTCCATCGCCTAACTGCGTAAACCGTGCTGCTCATCCCCAACTGCCCGCTTTACTCCTGAGTCATTCACAGTCCTCCTTGGTCCTCTACTGCTTTTATAAAACTCATCTTCCAACGCACCTGCACAAGAATACACATGGTTTGCCCCATTAATACAAAAACGAAAAGTAAGGGAAAACTTTTCACCTTATCGTCATAGAGCCTTTGTACATTGGAAAAATCGTCGTATCCTAGAGATCTTCGTATTC